AGTTTAACTTTGAAAAAAACATATATCGAGACTTTATGGCGGGTTTTTCCCCATACCACTGCCATTACCATTGCCATTTGCCATTATTTTAAACATTATGCACTTTTTTCGTAGATAGTCATGTTATCTTATGCTTTGAATGATGCGCCCTCTTGTGGCCTCAGGAGAGAAGCCAAAAGCTTTTCTTCACCCTAACTGAAATTATGCATTTTAAATTAGAATATAATTCGAATTTTGATCATATTTAAGTACAAAATTCGAATTTAGTTTTTCAGCCATTTTGACAGCCCTAATATAAAGCCCTTCATAAACCTGTGAACCCTGGTTTATCACAGCATTAAAGGCCTATTTACACTAAGGACTTTAGGTTTTAATTATTGTCCTAATTCTGTGATAATTGTGAAGTCCACACCACAACTATAACGATAATGACACTGAAAAATGATATCATTGGAATCACATCCAGAATGTTTTTTCCCCCAGCTGATGAATATAAAAACATTGACAGTCAATCAGAATATATCCTGCTTTAAAGAGCTCGAGCATATAAAGCGGCAGATGACAAAACTGTAGCGCACTTATAATAAACAGAAAACTGCCGTGCTTTGGTGTGGATGCTTATCGTTATTGTCACAGTTATCATAATAGTTATCTTTATTGGTGTGAACAGGCCTTAATGCACTTTTTTGAACCTAAAAATGCTCAAGGCTGGTTTATATGGCTCACCAAAAAAAAAAAAAACTAACAGGGTTTAACACAGCGATACAACAAAACCCAGCAACTGATGGAAGTCAGTTTTTGCAATCTTAAAGAAATAATTCACCCAAAACTATCCCTTGGTTGAAACTCATACAGGTTTGGAACAACTTGAGGGTGAGTAAATGATGGCAATTTCTCTTTTTTTGTGTACTATCCCTTTAAGATAGAAAGAGAGAGAAAGAAAGGGAGTGTGATGGATAAAAAAAAAAGAGCCGAGAGGTAGAACATACCTCATAAAAGCCAAAAATGAGATGAGGGAGACGCTGACAACCCAACCAGCTGCTGCAAAGGCCTTGGGCATGGTCAAGGCACCAGTGCCAACAATTAGATTGAACATGTACACCAGGCCAACCTACATGAACACAAAAAAATACATGTCTATAGCAGATTGAAAAGTTTTCAAATATCACAGATGCATAGCAAATGAATTACAAGAGCCACTCAAGTTCACACACACAAAGGGGCCCCATTACACATCATCTGTCTATGTTCTCTGTTCTACTTCCTTGCAAAGAGGATGAGTCTGGGATGTATCACCATCATGCAATTCAATAAGCTGATGTATGTGATAACTCATTTGAAATGCACTGCATTTTCTCCCACTTGAGTGCACAAGTCACGTATTAATCAATATAGTCTACTGTAAATTAGTCATGAGCTTAACTAACAAAATTTACTGTTGATTCCATTAGAAACTGATGAGCACTTCCCTTATTGATAATCTTTAAAAAAATACTTCCCATTAACCAACGTGAGCAAAACAAAGGAGATAGTAGATATACTGTACACTCATGCTGACACATTATGTACCTTACTGTAAACTTACTGATTTATTTCCTCTTATTTTTAAGAGGATTCTTTTCGAAGAGTTTTCAAATGAAGGCCATTGCATATTTTTTTGTAGTTGGGAGCAATAAAAATACTCTGCATTACAGATCTTAAAAACTGTCTACAAAATTAAACGCAGGTCCTAAAGCCAGTTTAATTAAAATGGTTTTTAATTAATTAAATTTTTATTAGTATTCTATAATTATTAAGGTAACTGCAGCTTGAGTTATCTCACAATTCTGACTTTCTCAGAATTTCTACATTTATATTTTGCAATTTGTTTTTTTGTTTCAGCCACAGAATAAAAATGTTTTTTTCCCCCTCGCAATTGCAAGTTTATATTTCGCAAATTCTGACTTTTTTCCTCACAATTCTGAGTTTATATCTCACATTGTCTCAGAATTATGAGACAAAAAGACAGAATTATAAGATATAAACTCATTTAATCGTGAGACACAAATGGTCTTCAACAGTTTCCACACTTTGTTAGTTTTAGTTAAAGATTTTATAAAAATATATTTAGTGCTGTTAAATTTAACACATTTAACACAATTACTCTGTTCAAATGTCTAGCCATTTTCCCATATTGTCAGATGGGAAAACGAGTTCAAGTAAACCACAAGACTACATGAGTCTGGATCATGTGCTGGTTTCTGCTGATTTAAACCATGCAAGCATGTTTCTCCTGTTTCCTAAGCTTTCATTTCCGCTTTAAATAAGTAACACAAAGTGAACTGTTCGAATCACATGACTTACAGTGACATAAAGGCACCTAAAGCTCTTATGACAACGGTTAACTTACATTATCTGGTAATCAAAGCCTAAGAAAGGGTGAAAACAGAACTACATTTCAGTGGTGTCAGTCATTATTGCTCTTAAAAATTACAGGATCTAAAAGTCTTGAACTATTTTATGAATGCAGGTAGGAAGCAACAGAAACCATGTCACATGCATGACATGACACAACCTGACCTGATGGTTCGCAGTACCATGATACTGTCACAAGACAAAGAGCTGAGTGTACATTATAGTTCAACTGAGCAGTGTGTATATGTAAAGTAGGTCAATCAATATTTACTCCATGTACAACCACTTGGTCAAATGTAATACTTACAAATGGTGAGTAAGGCTCCCCTGTTTCTGTAATGCCCCCAGCCATCTCGCAGAGAAAAACACAACTCTAAAACCCGAAAGATTACCACCCTGAAGAAAGAAAAGTCTGTTTTAATATTTAATACACCACAATTTTGGGACATGAAAAAAGGGACATGAGTAACGTTAGGCCAGAGTAGCATGACTAGTGTCAACCGTTGTTTATGATTTATTTAACGTTATATTCACTCAGTGGTCACAGAATATGGCAGATTTAAAAAGTATATACTGCATTTCTTAATGTGCAACTGCTCTACGATGTTTTGTGTGACAGTTTCACCATAGTGATATAATATTCAGAGAGAAAACTTTTTTAAATCAGTCATATTGCTGAAAGTAAAGGCTCACCTGTCATCGTGTGGGGCGACTGTAGTTGGCAAAGGAAGGTGTAACGTTAGGTTTGTATAACGTTAGTTAGAAATGAACGAGACGTTAGAAATGAATCAGCGACGCAGCTCGCGAGCAAATGCGACGTAATAACAAAGCGGAGCGCATCGTGCGCACCTCCTCATTGTTTCATTAGCGGATAATTAAGACAGGCTGCAGAAGTTCTTCTGTTTGGGAAAACATATCCATTAAAATTAAACAGCACACAGGACGTCAGCAGGAAACAGTTCCTGCGAAAGGGGGTGGGGCGTAGCAGATCGGAAGTGTTTGCTGATTGGTTGGTTGGATGCGGCGACGCTTTGTGACGCTTGCAAAGATTTTACGTTATTCAGTAATTACTTTAATAAACAATGTACACTTGTAATATTATTTTATTCAATTCTTTGCAAATATCTTATCAGTGCACTCTGATCACTAAGATTTTACATTTGTTTAAAGAAGTCTCATGCTCATCAAGGCTGCATTTATTGAATCAAAAATACAGTAAAAAGATTAATATTGTGAAGCCTAAAATAACGGTTTTCTATTTTAATAAGACGTAATTTATTCCTGTGATGCAAAGCTGAATTTGCAGCATCATTACTGCAGTCTTCAGAGTCACATGATCCTTCAGAAATCACTCTAATATACTGACTTATTTCTTTTATTTATTTAGTCATTTAGCAGACGCTTTTATCCAAAGCGACTTACAAATGAGGACAACAGAAGCAATCAATTGTAGTATTAAAACAACTAAAAACGGATCCAAAACTAAAAGCTAAAACTTTATAAATACTACCTATACACATTTTAAAAATAAAGAGATTAAATAAAAATGACAGATGCATATAGCAAAATTTCAAAACTTAACATATAAATGAAAAATAAAAAATAAAGCTAAAAACAATTCAAAATATTAAAGAACAAAAAGGTATAGGAGTATAATGATTCTAACATAACACTAAGCCAAACACCAAAAGAACAACTACATATATGTGTATCTACAACCACACACACATACATATATACTGTATATGTACATACACATTTATAAATTCAATATATATATTATTTCATTTAGTAATAATGATAAATAATTTCATTTAGTTTGTTGAAGTATTAAAATAACTCAATTAAATAAAACAAACTTAAAAGACCTATACAGACATAATAAATTCAGACATAATTTAACTAAAATTAAAATAACAAATACAAATACAAATCAAACGACAGTAGTTTATCAGTAATCCTAAAAAAAGAACACTGCCAAACTTGCATGCTAAAAAACAACTTACACAGTAAGAAATGGTTATAAAAACTGAAACAGAAGTGAAACAAGTAGTAGGACTTACCCTTTTTTTTTTTTATACATATTTTTTAACAGGACTTTATCAATACAAATCTGGTTAGGACACTGATTTGTAATTACTATGGTAGTGTTAATACTGTAGTAAAATGGGACTTAATGTAACAGTCTTACCTTATCTGAATTCATAAAACAACATTTAGACAATTTCCATATAGAAAGGGGGCTGAGTGATTTCAGTTGTCATTCTCTATCAATTAAAATTATTTGGGAGAAATTTTATTATTGGCATTCCATTAAGTGCACAATAATGTCACTAGCACATGCATTTTTTCCATCTTTTTGAGTTTCTGTGTCTGACTAGATAATTACGTCAACATCTAGACAGCTGAAGGAGAAAAATCAGAGACCACGCTTTGTTTTAATTTGACAGAAAATGTTTATTTCCCCATTCAAAGAATTTGAAGAAAGGTGATTAGTGGAAAAACAAGTCAACATCCAAACTGAGGACTGGGAAGGGTGAGGAAAACATCATAATGCTTCAGCAGACTTTCTGAAAATCATAAGCTAAACGCATTTCTCCATCGCAAAAAAAAATAAAAAATTAAAAAAATAAAATTCTTTAAAACAAAAAGAAAGCAAAAGGAAAACTTTTAAAGTCTAAAAAAAATCTTTGTGCAAGTGCACAAGACAAAATACACAAAAATGTATTCATTTTAAAAATGAGATTGTCAGAGCTAGTGTTTAATGATGAGAGAATAAACCTTAGATGCAACTGTCATTCGTAGAGATGAACATGCATATTGCTTAAACAGGCATTTAAAACCACGACAACAGCTAAAATATGTTCTAAACAACTAAAAATACGGGGGGGGGGGAAAAGATTTGGGTAACCTCTCCTAAATTCTAAACCCCTTCAACACAGAATGATGTACTTCCAATGACATATCCTTGAAATCAAAGGTCTACTCGCTAACACCGCCCTCCTCATTACTGCGTTTTCCCACAATTCATTAGTCTGTCTAGTACAAGGACAGCTGCATATTGTGTAGACTGGAGAATCTTACCACATTACATGCCATTAACACAGGTTAGTTCTCTTTGCTAAAATTATACTCCGTGTTAAATTTAAGCTCATTAAAGAAACCGCTTTCTCTTTCACGTGATAATTAGATTGTCCTTACACAAGCCAAGCATTCTTACTCTTAACAACAGCCTTCATAACTTCACTAGATTCCCATCTTTGAGGGGGAAACCGACAGTCCTTATAAGAGAAAGTGCATATCAATAATGCCACTAACTAAAGTTCCTTAAGCATTATAGTTATTTAAATCCCTATAATTTATTTTAAAGCAGCAGAGGCAAACACTCGATCTCTACAGTGAATTTTTGGTGCAGGATCAATCTTTACGTGACGTTTGCAACACAAAAGGAATAATAATGCTTAAATACAGACTACAGATCACAGCGATCAATTACTTGTCATTTTATCAAGAAACCTCATTGCCTTTCTTGCTATGCGCGTTTTAGATTAGCAAAAAAAAGAACAAAACAAGGTATGTGCTTAGCGAAACATTATGTGACCTATATCAGCAACTCCATTATGGTTCCATTACTGGCTACAGTAGAATTATCAGCAATAAATGAAGCAAGCAGTTTCTTAGTGGAATGAAAAAATAGCTCGATGCAATATGGAGCCGTGGAAAGAAATGAAGCAGGCAGAAAATTCAGAAATATGTACTTATGTCATAATGATTGCATGCTTCTGTCATTAGCCAACCCTAAGAACTTGTTTTATGATTAGCAGTTTTTAAAACGAAAGTGCACCCAAAAATGAAAATTTTCCATGAAACACAAAAGCTGATAGTGACTTTAAAAGGTACAAGTTTTCAATAAGAAAAACGTATGCTGTGTAGATCACAAAAAAACTGAGTCACTTTTAGCGAATAACTACTTAACTTCAGTTTCTCAAGCAAACCTTTGCATGGCTTCAGGAGATTGGGAAAACACTGCATAAGTATACTTTAAAATCAGAACTGTTGTCCTATTTGCAGTTATAATGCACTTTTTGTTATATATGTAAAAGAGTAATTGTGCTATTCGACATCTTAAAGATGATATACACTTGTTTTGAGAGACGTTAGCTTGAAAGTTTTTATTTTCGGGTGATCTGTTGCTATAAGAAAACAAATTTTGTTCAGGCACAGTCTGCCTTAAGCATGCATGCCGCTCGTTGCGGTTTGTGTGTGTGCTTTTGGCATCTAGCTGAGAAGCCAGACTTTGCTAAGGCTGGACTACTGAATGGCGTCGAGCTTGAAAGTTTTTATTTTCGGGTGATCTGTTGCTATAAGAAAACAAATTTTCTTTAGGCACAGTCTGCCTTAAGCATGCATGCCGCTCGTTGCGGTTTGTGTGTGTGCTTTTGGCATCTAGCTGAGAAGCCAGACTTTGCTAAGGCTGGACTACTGAATGGCATCGTTTTGTCCAATAAGCAGCTGGTGAATCTTGCCCGAACGAACCCTCCCTCCCGATCAACATCCCTGAGCTACAGCTTTCATTCCCATTCGGAGCAAGTCAGAAGACAAACTGTGACAGTAAAAAGGTTGATTTCACATTAACTCTCTTTCGACTCCTCTTGCACAGAGCTGGAGGAAGCGGGATCGCTCCAGATCACAAACCGTCACACGTCTTTGGCTCTAACAGCAGGTAGTTCCCACAAACAGACATGGATGAGTTCCCCAGTAACCCTCCCGTAGATTTGACCTGCAAATAAGAACAATGTGTTCAAACAAATGGCCAAAGCTGCTTTGGTTTGATGTTTTACTTTATCACTGAGGCTCTTCTCACCTAATAGTTGGTTCCCATGTCAGCAGGGGCGGCGTCTACACACCATAGCAGGCTGAAAGCCTCTCCTTCAGCAGCGGTGGAAACTGTTCAGAGAACTGCTGCCAGTTATCCTCACCAACCTGATCCTTGAAGCCGTGCAAAATCTAGACAAGAAATGGACAAAATCTGTTGAAGCATAGCAGACAACTGTGCTTCTATCTTGGCCAACTGTAAACCCATCAAATCAAAGTTGTTAGTTACAGAAGAAGAGTATTTGAACCTTGTAGAACATGTCCCTCAGATCGTCTTTTGGATTTACCCAGGAGGCCACAGCGTCACAGAAAAAGATGAAGTCCTGCATCCAAAAAAAAGTTGCATTAAAGCCAAACTGTAACCTTTAGCCCAACAACTTTTGTTTTTAGATTTAATAAATTATTTTTCTATTTTATGGTAGTTAGTACATAAAATGCAGAGTAAACATATACATTATATATTTATTTCTGATATTGTTATACAGTATGGAATGTTAAGCCCAACTATTATAATTTATTTATTTACATTTAATAAATTATATTAATTCTAATAATTATAATTATAATAAGAGAATACAGAGAAAAATTATACATAAATTATGTAATTATATTTATATTGTTTAATTTTTTTATAATGCTATAGAGTATGGAAACTTTAGCCCAAAAACCCAATTTATTTACATTTATTTTAATTGAATAAATTAAGATAAATTCTTATTTTAAGCACATAAGAGAATGTAGAGGAAAAAAACAAATTATATTTATATTGCTTTTGTTTCTGATATTGGTATACAGTATGAACGTCATTACATTTAGATAGTAAAAGAGCTAAATTCAACTTATTTTTAAATTGTTAATTTAAAATAATGAAGTTAAATAAAAATGTATCAATTTACCTTACATTTTCTAGTGTGATTTTATTGTATTTATTCTAATGATTGGGTACATAGATCTTGCTATGGGCAATAAATGTATTAAATCACATCAAATAAAAATTATAAATAACTCGGCTCTTAAATTGCATAACAGATTTGGTCTTGAATGATTTCCCCCGTATCCTCTCACCTGTACGACTCCTCCAGGATTTACCCCAATCATTACGCAAATGCCCCTGAAGGCCGAGTCTTTCTCTTCATTGTCCCGAATGTTTCTAAGTGACGTGCACCTGCGTTGAAAAAAATATAAAGAGCCGTTTATTTCAGAAGTTTAGTAGATTTTGTAGTTTAAATCACTAATTTAATCAACATCTCACCAAGGGCGAACGAACTGTGGCAACATGGGGGCAACTTCCTGTGGGCACACATATCCCAGCCGACCAATCGTAATGGCTGTTTCACACACACACACACAAAAAAAAAAAAAGTACAAAAAGGGCCATGAGTGTGTTTCAAGTTAAAAAATGGCTGCAGTTACAGCTATAGAAATCAGAACACCACTTTCCACAGATAATTCAGGTTTCAAATGTCTGTTTTGGAGTTCATCATACGTTTAGTGTGATTTTATGCAGTATGCTTGCTGTATGCATTTACCTGTGTTCTCCAGCAGAGTTTTGGGTGTATTCTGTCTGTTGATGATCTCCACAAGTTTATTGAGAACCAAGGCCACAAACGGCTGCATCTCCGTACCTGGAAAAACACCAGACAGACAAATTAAATATCAAGCAGCTGTCCAAATTTACACAGGACAGATATTAGATTTGCAAATAACTGCGCCATAATGCATATGAAATGATCATTCATATATGAGAGTGCATAAACACTCACCCATCTGTATGGCGATCTCTCCGATGGCCCATGTGGCATTGTTGCACACAGATATGAACTCCGGGTTGAGATTGAGGCCCAGGACAGGCAAGAACTCGGCTAGAGAGTGTAAACGGACACCAATGACAAACTGACCGGCACAACACACACACACAGAAGCAACAGCTAGCATGAGAAAGCAGCTCTTCATGTGTCAGGCTTCACTCGGTAAGAGTCAAAGAGCACAGCTCACCGATGCAGGGCTTGATGTGAAGGAAGCACGCCTTAGTCAGGTCTCCCAGCAGAGCGAACGAACTCTGACGCACTTCTGGCATGGTGTCCTTTAATGAGAGCAGAAATAAAGCTTTTAACACACAATTACATTTTCTGCATCAAATTCATGTTTCATTTTTCCACTGTTATTTTGCAGAAGATTAAATCAGACGCACTTGAGACAACATGAGCAAAGGAAGAAGAATTACTGAAAATGATGACTATTTTACAACAGATAATCAGGTATGGTTTTATGGTCCATTCAGATTATGTTTAAGTGTCCAATACGCTCAGCTAATACATGTACAAAATTAATAACAATGATTCTATTACTAATAAGATATATAAAATGTAATATATTTAATAACAAATTATTTAAATCTTAAATAATAATAATAGATACGTTTTTTTAATTTTATATTACCTTTATAATAAAATGAAACGATAGATTATATACACACATCATACTAAAGTTTTATATAAGCTTATTTTTGTATTTCTTATTTAATAAAGATATTTAAATATTCTCTCTCTCTCATATATATATATAGAGAGAGAGAGAGAGAGATACACATTCACATACATATACACACACAGCGAGAGAGAAAATTTAAATAAAATATTTACATATATTAAATACTAAACTTATTTTAGTATTTCTAATATTATGTTTAAATATTTTATATATCCATATATGTATATACACACACTTATTAAATGTATTATTCAATAACAAAAACAATAATCATCATTATTATAATTATTATCATCATCATCCAGTTATTAACAACAGGTATTAATTTAAATATTTATCACTATAAAATATATATTATATTCAAATATTTAAAATGGATTACCTGCATGCACTGGAAGATCAGGGTCATGACATTGCTGCGGGTGACCAGCTGTTCTACATGAGCTCCGAGTCCCTCTGCCAGACCGCTGAGCAGATCAAGGGCCACAATCATGAAGTCTTTATCAGGGGCCTCGTATTGGTCAGGGTGCTGGTTATACATCTGCAACAAAAACAGAAAGAAAACCTCAAGACCAGGGGAATGAACCAAAATGACAACACGCTATGGCTGTTCATTCTCCACTGACCATGGCTTGAGCGAGGTTCTTCTGGACCAAGGTGACACAGCGCTGGTAAACTGGTTCACAGTATGGCAGGAAGCCGCTCTGTAGTGCTGTGGCCACTGAAGACAGGCACTAAAATAAGAAAAAGTAACAAATTCCTTAAGACATTGCAGTTTTTGAAGTATGAATATCACAGAATTCGCAGAACTATTTTACCTCCAACAAAGGGAACAGATCCTTGTCTTCATCTTTTAACTCATTCCATTTCTGAATAAGAGGGGGCATGAGCTTTTGGATGTATTCCTGTTAAACAAAACGGTCACATTTAATTATGATTCTTGAACATTTTCCTCTTTAAACACTCAAAGGCATAGTGATCCTACTGGCTGGTTAAGATGGTGTCCGACAGAGTCAGCAAGGGTTCCGATGGCGTCGTAGAGGATCAACAGGTTCTTGTGCTGGTACTTGCTGAAGGCAAACACCAGCGTGTCCAGAATGAAGCTCAAGTAGGGAACCAGCTCTGTACAGGCCTCCTCTTCCAGAGTCGCAAACGCACTGATGGAAGGACAAACCCAAGAATTAGCTCAACATGCAGATTCGTCTCCAGAAGCTCCATCCAGACTGAAAGGAAAAGACTGAAATGCATCTAAAAAAAACAACCTATGGTGGGTTTTCTTGGTTTTAGCTGGTTTGTGTTTAAGAGGGCTTTATAGCTGGTAAGGTTGGGAAACGGACTTGGACCAACCAGATAAACCATTGTGAGACTGGTTAACCAGCAAATCACCTTAGCTGGTTTATTATACCAAACTTTCAGTTATTTAAGCATTTATATACTTCTATAGTATTTATTAATATTTTTAATTAGCTTTTATATCTTCAGTTTTTATTTTATTTTTAAATTCCTATGTGATCTTGTCATTTTGTTAGTTTTTTTTCTATTTAGCTTTTATTTGTTAGTACACTTCAAAAAAAATATATAAATAAATAATAAAAAAAAAACTTAAAATTAGAAACCGTGAAATCAGTTTCAGCTGACGTTTATCTAACATTGATATTTTATTTTATTTGAATTTATTTCAATTACCAAAACCAGATTTTTAATAGTTTTAGTCAACAATAATAATACTAAATGTATCAAAATATATCAAATTTATTAGTTAGAGGCTACAAAAGAAAGACATGGTCCGATTTAAGATCTGTTATTTCGGTCTGTAGGCTGTATTTTCTTTAACATACCTGCAGGCGGCCTCCTGAACCCTCTTGTTGCTGTCAAGGATGCGTTTGAGCAGCTCGGTCATGAGGGGTTTGAGGTAAGAGTCTGGCGGCTGGCTGACCACCCAGTGTGCATAGCGGCTCAGAGTCCAGCAGGCGATGGAGCGGACCAGCGCTTTCTTATCACAGAGACACTGGATCAGGTGAGGAATCAACTCCGGCAGGTACAGAACCATATCCTGCATACAGCCTGAGGACAAGAGAGAGGAGGAGCTCAGAAAGGTCATACTTGCATACAAACATTTTTGCAGGATATACACTGATGTTCAAAAGTTCAATGTCAGTAAGACTTAAGGGGATTTCATTTAATACACCCTTACTGAATAAGTAAAGAAATTATCTATTTTAGAAAATATTTCCATTTCAAAATACTTTTATTCATTTAATTCTGAAAGTGTTTTCACAAAAATATTAAGCAACCGTTTTCAACAATAATAATAAATGATTTTGAACATCAAATCGGTATATTAGAAGGATTCCTGAAGGATCATGTGACACTGAAAAGTGGCGTAATGATGCTGAAAATTCAGCTTTGAATATTATTTTAAATTGTAATATTTCACAATACTATTGTTTTACTTTGTTTTCATGTTTTTATTAAAAAAAACAGATCTTGGTGAGCATGAGGGTTTAAAAAAATCTTACCACCCCCAAACCTTTGAATAGTAGTGTATAATATGCAGAGTACACAATTATTTTTTTATTTTTGTATGCATGGAATATAAGGGTGGAAATGAAGTCAAAGATTAAGATGTGTTAATTATTTTGTGTATAGTTATAAAACTATACACTAAACTCTGCTATATTTTGATTTGACCTAAACCATTTTCAATAAATCAAATGACATCGAAACAACCAAGCGTTCATCTGCTTTACATTTCGCCTTTTAAAGAGATTTGCTATGAGAAAATTGGAAATTTTAGGGGGGAAAACAGCTTATTTGTAAAATTAACAAAAATCCTTTTTTGTAGAGATGCACCTATCGATCGGCCAGGGATCGGAATCGGACGATTTTCCTCATGATCGGCACGGATCGGTGATCGGTCGATCAGTCTCACTTCTTTCCGATTCCGAGCCGATCCGTTTTGTTACCAGCGGCACAGGCAATAACATCAGCCGTGCATTCTCGCTCTCTTCTCTCTAACGACCCCTTCTCTCTCACACAGGTCTCATTCGCTCCAGTTAAATAGTGCTTGTATTGCGCATTATAGTCATTCCCGCAGGTTTCGCGCTTGTACCAAACGCGCGCGCACCACCACTGATTTATATTAGTGGAGCGCACAAGCCGCGTCTCAAACATTGGTGGAGCCAAAAAGCCGCATCTCAAACAGCTTGTGAGCCACAAATACCAAAATGAGTGGCTAACTGCGCTAAAAACGTTCAAATACATACAAAATGGTCAAAATGCCCGCCTTGGCGAGTATCCAGTTAAACGCAGTCAGTTTTGGAACGTTAAATAGTTGAGAAAGAGAACGCATGTTGTGTAACACTATATTGGGTAAGTGGATAAACTGTTAAAGGGGTCATCCGATGCCCATTTTCCACAAGTTGATATGATTCTTCAGGGTCTTAATGAAAAGTCTGTAACATAGTTTGGTTAAAATTTCTCAATGGTAGTGTAAAAAACACCTTTTTTTACCCTGTCAAAAACAGCTCTTTTCAGATCAGCTCTGCTGACTCCGCCCCTCTCTTCCGAGCTGCTCTCAGAGAGACTGTTTACTTTAGCCGCATTCATCGTGAAACTTGCTAATTAGCACATTATTAGGAAAGGCGATTTGCAAAGATTCATTAAAAAACCTTATACTCACTTCTTCTGTAGGTGAAGCTGG